CTCTGTAGGCACCAGCGTGGACAGATCCTCAAGGCTTACTACTGAGTGAAAAAAAGTAGGCTGCACAAGAACATGCTCTTTGTGGCCCAGCCACAGTGTCACACTGCTAAGATGCTGTGCTCTGTAGGCTGGGACCACGTGGGAGGCCCGAGTTCAATTCCTGGTCCAACTTAAAGCCTGGGAATGGAGGTACATACCCGTAATCCCAGGGATTTGGGAGGCTGAGGCAGGAGGATCATGAGCTGGCTTGGGCAACAAAGCCAGACCTTATTCAAAAAGAGCTCTGCTAGTGTTTGAACTCGGACTCCAGCTTCCAGAACTGAGACAACAAATCTCTGCTGTTTAGACCACCCAATTCGTGTTTCTTTGTTCAGCAGCCCTTGTGATAGAGTCCAGACTCACCCCTGCGGGTGAACCTCAGTTCCCCATAAAGGTGTGAGTTTCTGAGTTCTGCATCTGATAAATAATGTAAACTTCATTATGATATACTTATAAAAGTTTCAAGGAAGTTACAGAAATAAGTGGTCTTTAAAACATATTGATGGGGGAACCAGCAGTTAGCGTAATGGCTAGGTCGCTGGACTCCCACGTAGTCGACCGCGGTTCGTGTCCCGGACCCGGGGGCTTAAAACTCACGCCGGGCGCATGTGCGTGTGTGCCCAAGATCCCAAGAGGAGAATGGAGGAGAAGGGATTGCAGCGTGCCCATCCCCCCTGGGGGGTGATTTCTCGCTTTCTGTCTCTATATCTCTCTCTGTCTGTCTGGCGAGCGCACGCGCCCTACAGTGAAAATCTCTCAAAAAAAAAAAAAAAAACCTGTTAATGGGAGGACCAGCAGATGGCGTAGTGCTTATGTCGCAGGATTATCACATGCTGACTGTGGTCTGAGTCCCAGACATGGCAGCTTGAAACTCATGCTGGGTGTGCATGCATGTGTGCCCCAAATCCCGAGAGCAGGTGTGGTGTGGCCAGCTTTCTTGCGTGTGTGTGGGGGTAGTATTTCTCACTGTCTGTCTCTCTGACAAGTGCACTCACCCTATGGCAAAAACAACAACAAAAACAAAAACAAACACAAACAACCATATTGATAGGATCAGTCATGTTTTTCATAGTGAAATTTTTGAGCTTTTTTTTCTTCCCCCTAATTTTCCATAGAGTATCTGCACTCTCCAGAGAGAGAGAAGGCAGAGGAGTAAAAAAGCAGCCCTCATGGAGGACGACCATGGCTGTAATCCCCTCTCCCCATCTCTTCTACCTTTCAGAATTTTGCGCATGCACACACATGTGCCTGGCATGATTTTCAAGCTGTTGGGTTGGGTACTTAAACTGCACAGTTGGCCGTGTGGGATCCAGTCACTGCAATCTCCATACCACTGATCCAAATCTTTGAGCTTTAATATAAACTCATTAAGCCTTTTAAAATACTTAGCAAGACTTTTGGGGACATCTAGCAACATAATTAAAATTTAAAATGTTTTTTTAAGTTAACTTTTATTGCTTAGTGATAATGTGCACAGGTACACACATGTGTGCATGCCTGTGAGAGAAGCATGTTTGACAGGGTCCTGTCATCTCAGGATTTCCTTTATCCCTCTAATTCTTCAGGCTCCTAAGTGCTCATATGTGTGGTGGTTATGTTTTCAAGCCAACCCTGGGATCCAAACCCACGGTCAACCATGTGGCTTCCACCCTGGCAGGACATTTGTGTTGCTGCTGCACCTCAGTGACTGGGCCTGAAATTAGTTTTATGCATCTTACTGATAAAGTGAAAGTTGTCATCCTTTTTTTTCCCCCCAATTTTTAGAAAGAACTGTTTGCCTTAGGGTGTGTGCACTTGCCAGAATGAGAGGGAGAGACAAAGACAATGAAAGGGAAAGTGAGAAATCACCACTCTACCCCACCCCCCGAGGGGATGGCCATGCTGCAATCCCTTCTCCTCTGTTCTCCTCCTGGGATCTTGGGCATGCACATACACATGTCCGGCATGATTTTGAAGTTACCGGATCCGGGACTTGAACTGTGGTCAGTTTGTGGGAGTCCAGTGATGTAACCTCAGTGCCATCTGGTAACCCCAAAGGTTGCTATCCTTTTAAAAAAAAAGTTTCTTTGTTTTATGCAAGAAAAAATGAGAAAAAGAAAAGACTAGTGCCTACAACAGGGTCTCATGCCATGGTCCTCTGCTCAGCCCTCCCAGCCAGTTGGTTGCCATGCTCAGTCCAGGGGCTCAGATGTGGACGTGGTTAGGCGTGCGTCTCCACCTCTCAGCTGTTTTCATTCTATATTATCCTGACTTTCAGGCAGGCTCTCAGAGGGCTGCAGAGGTGACCCGGGCTCCTTGCTCCCTTGACACCCACCTTGCAGTGCCGGTGGGAAGTGAGGGCTGTGGCCTGAGAGCTTGCAAGGGCTTCTGGAACATTTCAGTAGCACAGCTGGGTCACTTGCTGTCCTTGATCCAAGTGCTGTGGCTGTTACTGCCCACTCTGCAGCTGGGGTAGGGTGGGGTGGATGGATGAAAGCTGAAATGCTGTTTTCAGAAAAGGGAAATTGGAGACCAGTTAGGCAGAAGCAACAGATGCTTACCCCACCTCTGAATTCTGGGGTCCTGGAATTCCACAACCATGTTCTTGATAAATGTTGAAAGACTGTGCTTTGAAATCCCGCAGGCATCTATATACCTAAGGGTTACAATGTTGTTTCATTTAATTAGTTTTATTAACTATATTCTTTGCATGTGTATAGATATAAAATCTCTATAAAACATATCAAATATATCTTAAATGACAAAGATGATAGTATACTCTGGGCATCTATTGAAGCAAAGCAAAAAAAAAAAAAAGATATATTAAGAAATCTCATGGGGCCAGCAGGTGGCATCATGGTTGGGACACTGGACTTCTAATGGCCAACGATGGTTCAAGTCCTGGACCTGGTGGCTTGCTTACCACTGTCCCTTCCCCCACCATCTCTCTGGTGAGCACACGTGCTCTATAGCAAATTAAAAAATAATAAGTAAATTAAATAGTTATTTAAAAGAAAAGAACCCTGTAACCATTTCCCCCCACCCTTTCTATAGGCCTCCCTGCCCCAAGTTAGATGCCTGGAGTTTATTCTTCTACCTCTTTTTTTCCCTGCTCACACACATATGTGTTGCATCTTTGTTGTTTGCCTACATTACTCATTTTTTATGCCAGAGGTTGCATATACATGCTTGAGAGAGAGAGAGAACCCTCTCAAGGAAGCCTGATTGTGCCACAATCCTTTTTCTTCCAGTGTTCCAATGCACACATGCACCCAGTGTGTTTTTCAAACTGACAGAGCTGTGACTCGAACCCCTATTGGCCATGTGGGATCTGACCTTCTTTGCATAGTGCTTAACTGCTGTGATATGGGGCCAGCCCAGTTTTTGTTGTTGTTGTTTGTTTTTTTAAAAATAAAACTAGCAATAAAAAACTTCCCTTTCTCTTGTCAGGACATCCCTCCAAATGCACACATAGTTCAGATTCCTAGCATTTTAAAAGTGTCTTGTTAATTTGTGAGTCCTCCTGCATGTCTTACAATTCCAGCAGTACAAAGGGCTTAGGTGAAGTATTTCTCCTGCCTATCTTCCCCACCCTTTCCCTTCCTTCCCTAGAGGATTGGGAATCATTCCAGAGAGAATCTCTGCATTTACAAAGATTGGTGCCTGGGAACATTTTCCCTAAGAATGAGAGAGTTCATATTTTTATCTATCATTGTATCGGTGTATCTTGGATACACTGTATTTATCCATGTATTTTGGAAACTCTTCTGCATCAGTACTTAGTCCTTTTATTTCAGAGTCGGAGTGGAGTTCCTTTGTGTGGCTGTAGAGTCATTTGTGTGAGTGTCCACCTGGTGGCCTCTCAGAATGCTTGCAGTCTTCTGTAATGCAAACGGAACTGCAAGAATAGCCTATATCCAGTCATGTTCCCGGGGATGGATATCTGCAGGACACCTTCTTAGCAGTGGAATTGGGAGGTGTCAAAGGACATGTGCAATTGAAATGTAGATGATGCAGCTCCAGGGCTCTCCACTGAAGGGCTCCCCATGCACCCAGAGGTTGGCATCTGCCTGCCATTTTCACAGATGTGGGGAGAGGAGTTAAAAAACTGGATCTCATTGTAGTTGAACCAAAGTCTTTAAAATACAGGGTTGTGGGCCAGTGGGTGGCATGGTGGTTAAGATGCTGGATTTCTGCATGGCTGACTGTGGTTCGAGTCCCAGATCTGGAGGCTTGAAAATCATGCTGGATGCATGTGCAAGCATATCCAGAATCCTGGGAGGAAAATGGAGGAGAAAGGATCGTGGTGTGGCCATCTCCCCTGGGAGTGATTTCTTATTTTCCCTCCTCCTGTCTCTTTCCAGCAAGCACACGTGCCCTTTGACAAAAACCTTTAAAATAAAATTGAGCGTTGGCTGGGATTCAAGTGGGTGACACTGCCTCTGACATACGTGGGTGACATGTCCTGTGACCTCTTCTTTGCCTCCATAGAGCAAGCTGCTTGTGTTAGTCTGTTTTTCTGTTGCTAACAACTGAATACCACACTGATTGGTAAAGAATAGAAGTTTATTTAACTCACGGTTTTGGAGGCCCTGGGTGGAAGAGGGGCTCCATGTGGTAAGGGGTTTCTTGCTGATGGGAATCTGTAGAGTCCTAAGGTGGCTCAGGGCATCAGTTGGCAAGACAGAGCATGAACAGAGCATGTGTGTCCTTTGACTACTCTTGTAAAGCTACCAGCAGTCAACCATGGGGGCCCTTTCCTGGTGCCCTTATCAGTCCCATTCACCTCCCACAGGACTCACCTTTCAACACCATCACGAGATTAAGCCTCTACTCTTACCATGGCTCACCAAGCTTCAGTGCGTGAATTTCTGGAGGGATGCATTCACTATAGGGTTCAGGTGGGAGTGATGGGGGACTCTTGCCTCTCCTCCTTGTGACAGAGCCTCTGAGATGTGTCCTCTGTCTTCGTGTCTCCCCAGAGCAAGCTGGTGAAGTACTTCAGCCGGCAGCTGTCCTGCAAAAAGAAGGTGGCCCTGCAGGAGCGCAACGCCGAGCTGGATGGCTTCCCCCAGCTCCGACACTGGTTCCGGATCGTCGATGTGCGCAAGGAAGTCCTGGAGGTGATCGGAGGCAACCCTGCACTCCCTGCCCCATATCTGCCAGCAGACACCCGCTTGCCACTCCTTGGGCAGCAGGTGTTTGGCTGAGCCCTGCATAGTCCCTGGCACATAGCAGGCCCTCAGTAATTGAGTGTTGGGAAAGCACTTGGGATCTCTCATGCCTTTGACGGGGTCATTAACAATGTTGTTCCAGTTAGAGCCTCTTCCAGATCTGCCACTTATTAATGGAGTCACTTTGGCCAAGTCACATCACTCATTAGGCCTGTGCAGGCCAATGGAGCTTTCTGTTCCAATGGCAGAATATCCCATCTGTGCCATTCCACGTGCTAGCCGCTAGCCATTAGCCACCCAGGGCTGGCGAGACCTTGAATCATGGTTAGCGCTTATGACCAAGGAGTTGAATTTTAAGTTGTATTTAATTTTCAAAAAATTATTATTCTTGGGGGACCAGCAGTTAGCGTAATGGCTATGTCGCTGGACTCCCACGTAGTCGACCATGGTTCGAGTCCCGGACCCGGCGACTTAAACTCACGCCGGGCGCGTGTGTGTGCGTGCCCAAGATCCCGAGAGGAGAATAGAGGAGAAGGGATTGCCGTGTGGCCATCCCCCCTTGGGGGTGATTTCCTGCTTTCTGTCTCTATGTCTCTCTCTATCTGTCTGTCGGGCGAACACACCCTATAGCAAAAACCTCTCCAAAAAAAAAAAATATTATTCTTGTCCATTTATTTTTTAGCTCTAAAAAGTTATGATTTCTGGTTTACGTTAATCGAAGCACATCTTTGTGAGCTACCATATGTTTTCTCAGGCATGCAAACAGTGCATAGTAATTAAGTCAAGGATATTCACAAGTTCGCCTTCTTCAGCGTTGAACATGACATTATGTTGTGCGCATTTGTTAACGGTTCTTCGAGATTTGTTTTTCTAAATGTATGTATTAAATTGTCCACTGTTTTTACTCTGCTGTGATGCAGTTAACTAATGTGGCCAGTGGCCACCTATCAGACTTGATGTGTGTGTCTTTTCACCTGTTGAGTAGAGACAGTGATCATCCCCTGTTTTTAAGTAGCTGCCATGTGGAAATGAGATGACTGTTACAAAGTGTTCAGCTCAGACTCTGGCACAGAGCAGCACCCCGTAAACATCAGCTTGTTGCTCTGGTTGTTGATAATGTTGAAAACTTTGGAAGTAACAGGCTTTCCAACGGCAAAATGAAGCCAGAGTCTCTGAGGTCTTGTGTCCATTCCGAAGGTCCCTCAGGTGTCCAGGATGGTGAGATTTTCTTACCCTCTAGGATAGGTAGGATTTCTTTATGAATATCCTTGGAGTGGAAGGTCCCATGTAAGTACAGATAGTATGAGGGGACTTCAAAAAGTTTGTGGAAAAATGGAATTAGAGTACGAGTTCATTTTGGTGCAATTTTTTTTTTGAAATCCATGTATAACTTTTTTTATGATATGCATTTTCTTTCTTCTCCTCCTTCTCCTTTTTAAAAAAAGAAAATTGCCAGAGGTGCAAACACTCACTAGAGAGAGATAGAGAGATAGAGAGAAAAAGAGAAGGGGATAAAGACCTTGTCCCTATGGGACTGGGTCACGCCACATCCCTTCTTTTCCATTTCTCAATTCTGTCAAGATTTGGGGGTCAGGTATGTACATGTACCTGACATGATTTTAAGCCAGTAGGGCTGGGACTTGAACCGTGATCAGCAATGTGAGATTTGGCTCCTTTAACTACTAGACTACAGGGCTGGCTTTCTTCCCTTCCTCTCCCTTCCCCTCCTCTTCCCTTCCTTTCCCTTCCCTAGCTGGGTTGTGGGCTCTCTGGCTACAGTTCATACATGTGTCTACCAGAGGTCCTCTTTTTGAGGGAACAGGAAGTGTGGAGAAAATGCCTGGCAGCGTGTGGCCTGGTGGTTAAAGGAACTGGATCCCACACGGTCGACTGCACAGTTCAAGTTCCAGATCCCGCAACCTGAGAAACATGCTGGGATCTTGTGCACTGTGCCCCAAATCCCCAAAGGAGTGAGAGATTGGAGGAGAAGTGATTGTGGCATGACCATGCCTCATATGGGGTACTTTCTTTTGCACTCTGTAAGCGATATACCCTCTGACAAAAACTATAACAACAAAAACCCAACGTGAAACTGCCTGGGTTCAAACCCTGGGCTTCCCACTTACTCACTATGTAACCAGTAGGCAAGGTTTAACCTCTCTGAGTTACCATATCTTAGTCTGTACACAGTGAGGATAAAAGTACATCGTCTTTGTGCCATTAAAAGAAAATGCATGAAAAGAACTTAAAACAGTACTCCCTCCATAATAGTTATTAAGATTTTTGTCAAATAGATGTGCATCTGCTCTTTTCACTAAGTTTGTTGAGGCTACTTTTGATGTTATAAAAAAATGCTACCTTGATGATTCTTCTGATTCTAAAGTTCAGTGTAAATTTTATTTTTATATGCATATATACACCCCATAATATTGCTCTGAAATTATATATATATGATTTAGTGGGGCCAGCATATGGCATAGCGCTTATATCGCTGGACTCCCACACAGCCTGCAGAGATTCAAGTCTTGGACCCAGTGGTTTGAAAATCACCTCTCACTGTTTCTGGCTCTTTCTCTCTTGATGGAAAGCACATGTTCCCTAAAGCACAAACCTCTTAAAAAAGAAAAAGATTTTTACTATAGGGCGTGCACGCTCACCAGAAAGACAGAGACAGACAGACAAAGCGAGAAATCACCCCCCAGGGGGGATGGCCACGCTGCAATCCCTTCTCCTCCATTCTCCTCTTGGGATCTTTGGCGCACACACACACATGTGCCCATCATGGGTTTAAGCCACCGGTCTGGGACTCGAACCATGGTTGACTAAGTGGGAGTCCAGTGACATAGCCATTACGCCATCTGCTGGTTATATATATATATATATAATTTTTAAAAAGAATTATTATTATTTTTAAAGTTTGATCAGAGAGAGAAAGAGAAGGAAAACGAGAAAACAAGCTGCCAGGTCAGAGACTTGGACCGTGGTCAGCCGTATGGGAGTCCAGCACGCTAACTACTTCACCTACCAGCTCTAAATATATATTTGTAAATCATAGGATTAAAATGCAGATGTGAATCCTGCAGCAAAGAGGAGACTCCTTTGGGCTGTAATTCATTCTGTGTGTTGAGATCTTGGTTCATCATCTTTATGTGAGGCTGATCTGCATCATGCCCTTATTTGAGAAAACCTTCAAGTGACTCAGTTGTTGTCCTTGCCCTCCTCTCTGCCTTTGTGAGTTGGGCTTCGACTATCTCTTTTTATGGATAGAATTTTTTTATGCTGATGCAGTTTTTCTCTGGCTGGCAGTTTAATGTGGAATTTGTATTTTGTTGTAATACACAAATATGGCCACACGAGGGCAGAAGTACACCATAATATTGCTCTAAAATCTCCTTCCATAGGTATTTACAACTCTCATTTAAGTAATAATATACGTAAAAAAAAAAAAAGTTGCATACCATTTATTAAGTGCTGTAAATGAAGGCACTTATATATTTAGATATACTTACACATACATAAGTATAGAATTTTTTTAATCATCAGAGATAATCTATACTCCCTAGAGAAAGACAGAGACAGAGACACAGAAAGAGAGAGAGAAAGGGAGAGAACACTCCCCCCAGTGGGGTGTGATCAAGTCACAATCCCCTCTCCTCCATTTCCTCCTCCTGTTAGAATCTTGGGCATGCATATGCACGTGCCTGGTATTTTTCAAAATGCCAGGGCTAGGATTTTGGTTTTTGTCTTTTAAATTTGCTAAAGGGTGTGTTCACTTCCCAGAAAGAGAGAGAGAAAAAGTAAGAAAACACCTCTCCTATGGGGGAATGGCCATGCTGCAGTCCCTTCTCTATTTCTCCTTTGGGGATTTTGGGCGCACACACACACACACACACACACACACACACACACGTGCACCTGGTTTGTTTCCCAACGTGCTGCTTCGAAGCCCCGAACTGTGCAGTCAGCCATGTGGGGCCCAGCCACCAGGTGGCCCAGGTCTGGGATTTGAGCTGCTGCTGGCCACATGGGATCCACTTCTCTTAACCACTAGGCTATGGGGCTGCCCCATAAATCCAGAGGTTTGACAGATTTTGAGGTGTCTAGGGAGACACCATTTTGGGGGAGTGGGGGTGATTGCTAGTGGCTCTGAAGGGACATCTGCTTGACACATCTGCAGCTGCGATGCTGCCTTTTATGTTCCCAGCCTGTCTCTTCAGAGACGTTCCCTCCCCACTCTGTGCTATACCCAGCCTTGTCACTGTGCCTCAGGATGCAAAGTCATGTGCCATGTGGCTCAGACAAACCCAGGTTAATTTACAGCACTGAGCCACCAGGGGTCATTCGCCCCATCCCCTTGGGGTTCCTGAAGACTTGGTATAAACTCTGGACCCTGTGGCCAGAGAAGACAGGAAGCAGAGCGCTAACAGCCATGAGGGACATAATGGTTTAGTTTGCTTGTTCTGAGTCCTCTCTGGGATTCCAGACAAGGCATTGTGGTCTAAGCTGAGCAGGAGGTGCTGAGGGCTGCCTTAGAGAAGGAGAGGCCCTGGCTCATTAGGGGTTTGGAGCTGGAGTGGGCAGACAGACAGGTGGTTATCTACTACCATCTACAGGGCGCTGCAAATGCATCTGTGCCACTTTGCTTCCCCTTTATAGTGTGTTAGGTGGGGGCTCAGCGAGGCGCAGCACTTGGTCCCAGGTTAGCCAG